TCAATCGAAAAACTTTTACAAAAAAGCATTTTTTGCTCCAATAAGTCTTATACATATCGATGTTCCAAATATTACTCGTTCAACTGGTGAAAATCTCAGATGTAGATTATATATTCAACAAAAGTTACTCAAAAAATAGTCACTCATCTCTTATTTTAAATCGGATAATAAGTGTACCGAGCAGTTCTTTTTCTCAGGAGTCTATGTCTAAAATGAATTATGAAATAATTTAGAATTTGTAAATTTTATAAATTAAATTTACATATATATGTATCAGGCAGAATTAAGATTTAGAAAGAATTATACTTAAAATTTTAAGATAATTTTATGATCCTATAAATTTTAAAAAATTTTTAAAAAATAATTTACTTGTTATTATTATTTTAAATTTTAGAAAATTGTCGTGTTCGTAAGTTGTATTCAATAGAAACTGAATATCATTTTAAAAAGATGTAGAGTTCGCCACTAGTATTCATTAGAAAATAAAATAAAGTTTTGGAAGATGTATAGTATAGTAGATGTATAAAACAAAAGTTAACGAAAACTGTTTTAAAGAAGTTAATAAAGTCTTTCTCAAGAATGAGGTGGGTAGAATGATTATTTTAATCTCATTGAGTAAGTTTTATCATTTCAGATCGTGCGAATATCATGTCTACTCAATAAAAATATTTTAAAATAAGTTTCGCTTAATGAATTGATACGTTATTTGTCTTATCAACTGTTACTAATTACCCTGACCAAAAAAAAAATTCAAATTTTCGCGTGGAAAGAAAAGTGGACTTTGCCAGTTTAATTTTTCTTGGAACATATATATGAGTGACAAGTACATACCCTTTACCTGTATTTCCAAAAAAAAGAAAAAAACTAAATGTCAAGTTTCCTCGGAACGAATTTTGACGATCCTTTTCGTTTCGCTAATCTACAGACGGTTGTTCACCGCTAAAAAACTCACGTTTTCCTCCGCTTTAATTTATAAGAAACTAAATCAATTTAGTTTGAGTCTATTGCAGTCTTTGTAGCCGCAATGAAAGACGTGATGAAGCAATTTCACACTATATTATCATTTTGTTTTGTTTTCCATTACATGACGTTTCATGAATCATAACTATCAATAATACACGTTTAGATATTTCTAGTTCTTGCGTAGAGTGTCATTGATATCATTAGTATTCTATCTAACGCAACTTAATTCGAACAAATGTGATTGAATGTTCAAGAGACGAGAGCATACCGGAAATGAGTCCAAACTTAATTGAAAATTTTTATACATTGTATATATGATCTGTGTGTGTTATGCAAAAATACATTTTATACATATATATATATGTATATGTACATAAATATTTATGTGATTAGTATAAGTTTTCAGAAACTATTTTCATGACCTAATCGATACTACTACGATATATCAGCGACTAATAGGGTGTAGTAAGCAGTACCAAGTACTATTATTAGAAACACCTACGAAGTACCAGGTACTACCATTACGATCCAGCACAGAGTACTATGCATTATTGCAAGGCCCTAGTAGGAAGTATCAGGTACTAACACTAAGGTCTAGCAGGAAACACCGGGCACTTTTACTAGGACCAAGTAGGAAGTACTTGATGCTCATTCTGGGGCCTAACAGGACGCAGCAGTTACTAATAGTATGATCCAATAAGAAGTACCAGGTGCTAACACTAGGACCTAGTAGAAAGTATCAGATACTAATAGTAATATCTAGTACGAAGTACCAGGTACTAATGCTACGATCTAGCATAGACTACTATGTACTAAGACTAGGGCCTAGTAAGAGGTACCAGGTACTAACACTAGGATTTAGTACGAAGCACCAGGTACTATGACTAGGACCGAAAGGAGGTACCAGGCACTAATACTAAGATCTTACATAGACTACTATGCACTAACACTAGGATCTAGTACGAAGTACCAGGTACTAATTGTAGGATCTAGTACG